TCCCGCTGAGCAGGGAGCCCTATGCTGGGCTCGATCCCAGGACCCCGGGTTCATGATCTGAGCCGAAGGTAGTTGCTTAATGACTGAGCCACCCAGGAGCCCCGATAAGTAACATTTCTAATGCTGCTTAATATCAAATGGCTATACATTGTTTAACCATCCCTCTGTCATCGGAAATTTTGGTCCTTTTAATTTTTTTGTTTTTACAAAATCTGTGATGGGGGTACCTGGTTAGTAGAACATGCAACTCTTGATCTCAGGGTCCTGAGCTTGAGCCCCAGGTTGGGCGTGGAGCCTACTTAAGATAAAAAAATAAAATAAAAACAAAATCTGTGATGAATATGCTTGGGTATAGAACTTTTGTGTTTCTTGTATTTTGCATTTTCTTATGGTAAGTTATCATAAATGAAATTAGTAGGTTTTTCTAAACATCAGAGTTTATAACAAAGGTTGCTTCAAGAGGTGAGACTGAAAGCCTACCTACCAGGATAATGAAGAGGGATTTCTTTATCAGATTGGATTTTAGACATGATCACCTTTACCTTTCCTGTCCACCCTTTGATTTTGTGAATCTGTTAGAGGGTTGAGTGCTTTCTGTGATACTGATTTGGTTTTGGGGAGAGCCAAGATGAGGGTCAAGGATTCAAAGTATAATTAATGCATAATTGCCACAGATGCATACTGAGCAAGTGAAACTTGACATCTTTCTTGCTACATGCCTTGTTCTTATTTTCAGGATATGCTCCCATCTTCCTTCATACTCCTATCCAACCCTCCATTTTCTGGTGAAGCATACATGACTCCTTCAGTGTTTGTTCCAATACTTTCTGTGGCTCTGAGTCATTGTCTTCCCCATCCTACCCTTTTCATCTTCCAAAGGTTCTTCAACACTGTGCAGCAGGGCCAGCCCACCATGTCATAAATCATAGGCAATAGCCAGTTCACTAGGTAGGCTGGTGGACTGTTTTAGGGGTAGAACCAGGGCTCTGAATCCACTTTATTCCATCCCTCAAGGTTTGATGGTTTTTTCCCCCCAGGTAATTAAATGTGTGTCTTGTGGACCTGGGCTTGGCTGGAATGCTCAAGGGTCCTGAAGATCCTTCTATAGCTTCCTGCTGTTGAATCCATTAAGAGAAGATGGCAAAAGTCAACATAACTAGAGACCTCATCCGTAGGCAGATCAAGGTAAGCACCTTAGACCTTTGAACAAGAGCATGAGGTCCTTTCTTCCTAACAGATTCATTTTACACCTGAAGAAACTGAGGTCTGAAGTCGGTGACTTGCCTGAAGTCACACAGCTACTTAGTGGCAGACCCAGGACTAGAATCAAGGTCTCTTAACTCCCATCTTCTTTTGCCCAAGAACATAGAATTCATGGAGACTCCTCTGTCCCAGTGCTTTGTACCTGGGCTGCTGAAATTAATGAAAGCTGGTGAGGGAAGGGAGCCATCAGTGTGCTGTGCATGTGCGTACACAACTGTGTGTGCATATGTAGGTTTATGGGGGGTGCTGTGGCAGGAGAAAATGTGGCATCTTCATGTTGCTCCAGCTGCTAAGTTGTGCATGTAACAGAACCTGGAAGAGTCTTAGTCCCAGTTCAGCTTAGACTCTTTCTTCTTTTCCTTAAGGGTCTCCTGCACCTGACCTGTACAGTTTGTACATTCTGTGAGATGAATGAATGAGCAGGCAGTCACATTCATTTAGCAAGGTAGCCCAGGCTTTGTCAGGGAAACCTGCAGTAAAGGAGCACAGGGATTTAATGGAAGAGTTTCCACCAAGACATGATGTGCTTCTATAGTAAGAACCCCAAACTGGGGTCAGGAGCTTAATCTCACCACTGCCCTAATTACTTATAAGACTTGAGTCATTTTACTTCCCTGTGTTTTCTGTTGTTAAATGATAATAATGTCTGCCTCTAGGTGGATCATAATGAAATCTGAAAGAACACAAGTTTTTTGAAAAGGTTAAGTGCTAAAAACATTTTTTTAATTAAAAATCTTTAAAAAATAAGTGGCATGCAGCATAAGCTGTGATCATCATCAAAAAGGATTGAGTGTATGCCTCTACATGAGCCGTGTACTTGGTGCATATCAATCTACGTTTCATATATTTTTTCCCTGCATCCCTGAATCCTTTGGGGGCTTTGTCCATTTGTGGGGGTTTTTGTAATTTCATTAGAATGGATGGCCCTCAAGAGCAAGGACCATTTCCTAGAGGCACAGAATCAGAGTTGGAGGGACCTTGCAAGTTATTTTTTTTCCCTATGAGTATCCCCCACAATATGTGTCCTAAAGATGATGCCCACCCTCTCCAACCTAACAATGGAAACTCCCTATTTTGTTGTTTTCAATTTTTTTCATTTTTTCTTTTCTTTCTTTCTTTCCTTCCTTTTCTTTTCTTTCTTTCTTTTTCTTTCTTTTTCTTTTCTCCTTCTTCTTCTTCTTCTTTGGCAACCCAACAAGCACAACTTTGTGCTTTATTTTATACTCTTTTATTATTCTCTAATCCTTGCCCAAGTATAGTGCAGACCTTTTGTAGATCCTATGGTGCCCAGCACAGTGCTGGGTATGCAATAGGCACATAGTAAATCATATTGGATTAAATTAATGAAACTGTGAGTTTGTATCTGTCCCCCAGGAGCGGGGTGCCCTGAGCTTTGAGCGGCGCTACCATGTCACTGACCCCTTTATCAGGCGGCTGGGCCTGGAAGCAGAGCTACAGGTAAGAAATCCAGTTTGCACACTAGATGCAGATGGCCAGTTCTCCATTCTCTGTCTATAGAGAACCCTCTGCATTATTCAGGGTGTAAACAAGTTTTTCTCTGCAGGTCATACCTGATGGTTACCTCTCCTTTCCAGCAGTTTTATTAGGCTGGTAAATATAGGCAGGTGAATCAAGGTTAGTGATTGGCATGGTCATGCAGAAATTATTTCTTGGTCATATTATTTGCTTTGTGCTTGGAAAAAGATTGTTGAAATGCATACCACTGTTTTTACTATTGGCTTGGACAATAATTATTCTTACCTTTGCAAAGAAAGAGTTTACATAGTGTTTTTACACACACACACACACACTCTTGTCTCTCTCTCTCTCTCTTTCTCATTTTAGCTTCAAAGTAATGTGGGGAGGTATATAGGGAATGGGTATTTAAAAAAAAAAAAAGGTTTAGAAAGGTCAAGCACTTTGTCCAGTGTTGTCCTGACCAGTCCATGGAAAGCCAGGCCTTCAGTCCAGAAGTTCAGCTTTTTCATCATGTCCAACACAGAGACACTCTATAATGTTAGTTCCAGTCCCTTTCCTTCCTCCAGATCATGTTTTGAATCCAACTTTTAGCTGTCCTATCCAACTTAGTGTTATCTGTAGGTTGAGTTAGAATTCTCTTTGCTGGGGTGCCTGGGTGGCTCAGTCAGTTAAGCATCTGCCTTCAGCTCAGGTCATGATCCCAGGGTCCTGGGATCGAGCACCGCATCAGAACTCCCTGCTTGGTGGGGAGTCTGCTTCTCTGTCTCCCTCTGCCTGCCACTCCCCCTGTTTGTACTCCCTCTCTCTCCCTCTCAAATAAATGAATAAAATCCTTAAAAAAAAAAAAAATTCTCTTTGCTTCCTTCAAGTTAGTGTTTATAAGTGATCATGTTGATCTTAGAAAAAGACTAGGAAGAGGGCGCCTGGGTGGCTCAGTCATTAAGCGTCTGCCTTCGGCTCGGGTCATGATCCCAGGGTCCGGGGATCGAGCCCCGCATCAGGCTCCCTGCTCAGCGGGAAGCCTGCTTCTCCCTCTCCCACTCCCTCTGCTTGTGTTCCCTCTCTCGCTGTCTCTCTCTCTGTCAAATTAAAAAAAAAAAAAAAAAATCTTTAAAAAGAAGAAAAAGACTAGGAAGAAATTTATTGAATGTTCACAGTGTTATCTCGAGGTAGTGAGATTACAGATGATTGTTACTGCTTTCTTTTAATTATAAATTTTTATCCATTTAAAAATATAACTATATTAATACTGATGATCTTGAAAAGATAATTAAAAGTTACTTCTTAGTCCCATCTCCCTAATAGCAATGCTATTAGCATTTTGTGTGTAGAGACTAGGGCCCAAGATCTAGCTGTGGAGACACTCCAGCTTTTAGAAGTTGATTACAAGCTAAGGAGATTAAAAAGTTACCCAAGAAATAGTGCTCAGTGAAGTAGAAAGGAAACAAAACCAGGAGAGTGTAAAGGCCACGTAAGGAGAATATTTTAAGAAAGAAGGAGTGGTCACTTCTACTCAGTGCTTTTGAAAGGTTGAGTAAGATGAGGACAGAACAACAACTGTGGTCTTTACTGGAGTGGTGGGAATAGAGGCTAGATTGGAGTGGTTGTGAGAGTGAATTGGAGGTAAAGAAGTGACAACCATATTGTAGACAGCTTTCTTTTTCTCTTTCTCTTTTTTTTTAAATCCTTTTTTTTTTTTAAAGATTTTATTTATTTATTTTGACAGAGAGAGACAGCAAGAGAGGGAACACAAGCAGGGGGAGTGGGAGAGGGAGAAACAGGCTTCCCGCTGAGCAGAGAGCCCAACATGGGGCTCGATCCCAGGACCCTGGGATCATGACCTGAGCTGAAGGCAGACACTTAACGACTGAGCCACCCAGGTGCCCCTTTTTTTCTCTTAAAAAAGAGAGTGATGGAAATTTATTTATATATATATTACAAACTTTTCCCCCAGATGAGAGGAGCTAGGATGTAATCAGTAAAAAGGGTAAACTATGAAAGATATCTTCTCTTGCCCCTCTCCGTCTACATTCACCTTCCTTCAACTGTCTTGTTCTCCTGTCTTTGAGTTGGCTTTAACCAATGGGGGGTCATTTCAGAAAATTGGAGGAAGAATGGCATCTTTTTTATTCCCTCACTTCTTTCCTTCAAAGTCATTTTGTTTTGTTTTTGTTTTCAGCTTTACTGAGTTGTGTAGACAACTCTTGAAACAACTTTATTTACAAAAGGAAATGGAGAACTGGAGAAGTGGCTGGGTCTATCGGATCAAAGGAGATATTTATAAGAATGGGAAGAAATACTAGCATGTGACTGTATGTTGATGGCAGGGGAAGGTTTGCTGATATAGGAGGACAGAATAATTGAAGGAGCAGAGTCCTGGGGAAGGTTGGAGGGGATGGGTTTCAGAGTTCAAGCAGTTCAGGCCTTTGATAAAACCCAAGACATTTCTTTCATTGTTCCAGGGTCCAGTGGGTCTGGGATCAGGAGCAAGGCATAGACTGGAGTAAAAACTGAAGCGTCATTGACAGAGAGATAGTCTATAGTAGCAGTTTTCAAAGTGTTGTCTGCAGACCCCTGGGAATCCCCACAACTTTTTCAAGGGAATCCATGAGGTCAAAACTACTTTCATTGTAGTATCAAGACATTGTTTGCAAAACAAAAATTAATTCATTTAAAATTTGCAAAAAATGGGGTGCCTGGGAGGCTCAGTCGGTTAAGCGTCTGCCTTTGGCTCAGGTCATGATCTCGGGGTCCTGGGATTGAATCCTGCATTGGGCTCCCTGCTCAGCGGAGAGTCTGCTTCTCCCTCTGCCCCTCTCCTGCTTGTGTTCTCTCTCTCTCAAATAAATAAATACAATCTTAAAAAATAAATAAAATTTGCAAAAAAAAAAAAAGTGAGTAAAACTATTGTCACCTTAGCATGGATTAAGGCAAATAGCATCAAACCGTCATCGACTTATTAACACCATGCATTTGCAGTAACCAGAAAAAAGCAGGTTTTACTTAACATGTCCTTGATGTGAAGCAATAAAAATTACTAGTTTTATTAAATTTCAACCCTTAACGTATATATCTCTTTAGTATTCTGTATTATGGGATGGGAAGTACACATAAAGTCCTGTTGCTGCGAACTGCACTATGATGGTTGTTCTGAGGAAAAAGCACTTGTGCAGTTGTTTGAGTTGCAAGCCCCACTAGCCAGTCTTTTCATCTGAAAGAAGTACCATCTGAAAGAAGTACCATCTGAAAGAACCAGACAAAAACAATGGTTATTCAGATACGAGTATTTGGCAGACATTTTCTTAAAAATGAATGAACTGAGCTGTCACTTCAAGAAAAACAACTGACAGTATTTGTTGCCAAGGATAAAACTTGAACTTCTAGGCAAAAAAAGAGAGAATATAGGAAAACTTGTATCTGCCATAATGAGCTTGATAACTTCTCAATATTTAAAAGGTTTTTTTGACGAGATCTGTGGTGATAAAAACAAATGTCAACAGTGTTGTATGATGAATATTAACATTGAAGATCTTTAAATTCAGTGAGTCACTGTTTTCAAAATGACTAATGTATGATGTAACAGACTCATACATGTGTAAAAGACCTATGCATAACACAAACTAGACCAATGTGCTTTAACATAGCAAGGTACCAATAGTTCCTTTATGTGGTTTCAGATTCTACATTGTAACTTAAGAAACCATTACTTGTGGAGTTTTGGTGCAGTATCAAAGAAGGAGATCTATATTATCTGAAAAGGCTATCAAACTACTCCTCCCTATTGCAACTAATTATCTTTGTGAGGCTGTATTTTCCTTATATACTTCAACCAAAATAACATATGGCAACAGACAATGCAAAAGTAGGTATGAGAACCCACTTACCTTCCATTAAGCTAGACATTATGTAAAGCAATGCCACTCTTTTTATTAAATTCTTTTGTCTTAGAAAATATATTTACTTTTCTTTTAAAACATGTTAACATCATTTTTGTTATTTTTAAATGAAAATAATATGAAATATTTCCATTTTAATTTCTAATATGGGGTAAATATCAATAAATATAACCCCTATATACAAAAGCTCTTTGGGATCCTCAGTAATTTTTTTCAAGTTTTTTTTTTTTTTTTTTTTGAGAGAGAGCGAGAGAGAGCATGAGCGGGGAGGAGAGGGAGAAGCAGGCTCCCTGCTGAGCAGGGAGCCCAATGC